GCAATTTACCTGTATAGCAAACCTGCACATATACCCCTGAACCTAAAATAAAAGTTAAATAAATAAATAAAATGGTCCTGTTTAAGAACCATTTTTAATTTCTTTTTTGAGAACTGTCTGGATATATTTTTTTCTTTTTTAAATTAGGCAATTGATCTTTGACTATAATTTATAATCTCTATAATATCCAATAAGTAAATTTATCTCTTTGTGATGAGTTATACTTTTCCCCAGTTAATGTTTTTACATTGTTTATATTATAGTTTCTTCATGTAGAAATTTTATTTTATTTTTTCAACTTGTTTTGGTCTTCTTTATCATTTAGGAGACTGCTGTCTCTTTTTGAAAGTCTTTATTCCTGACATCGTAAGAAAAATTTTGTCTTCTAGTAGTGATAATAACAATGACAATAAAAACAAATAGTACTAACATAACTCTGTACCGGGCACAGTTTCTAACCACAGCTTGATGAAGTAGATGGAATTTCTAACTCCATTTTATAGAAGGGGAACTAGACTTACAGAATGTTTAATTAAATAACATGTCCAAAGTCATATAGCTAATAGGTGATGGAGACCAGCTTATAACTGAGGCAGTTTGGGTTCAGAATCCATTTTCTTAAACCAATAGGCCATACTGTTTTTTCTTCTTAAATTTTTTAACATTTTTAAGTGCTTTTTTGGTATATTAGGTTTGAGGTAGGAATTCAACTTTGTTTTTGGAGTGCTTGGCTAGAGGAGGAGCCAGCAAAGCGGAGGGTAAAGGATTGATCATCAATGTAGTAATAAAGCAAGGAACGTGGTGTACCATGAAGTATACTACTGAGATTTAAGTTGAGGAAAAATAATTTGTCAAGATGGAGTGATCTTCCTTTATGGTATATGTTTCAGTGGAATATGCTGAAGTAGAAGTCAGATGGATACTGTGTGGGAGATAGGAGAAAATGGAAACAGTGAGAACAAGTCTTGAAAAGTGGCTGTGAATATGAGGTTGAGAGAAGGCTGTCAAACGGGGAAATTATTGTTATTCTTTAGAAAAAAATGAAAGAGACTTACAGGTGTTACACAATGCTGATAGGAAGCATTCAAAATAGAAAAGAGATTAAAGAAGATAGAGGAAGACTATTCAATGGCAGAAGTTCCTGAAAATCAAAGAGAGTGGGCTCTAAAGCATAGATACAGAGATTTGCTTTCTATAGAAGATGCTCTATTATTTCTGGGGTATAAGAAAAGACAGATGTAGATACAAGTGACTTTGTGAGCTTATTGGTGGGAAGTGAGAGAGTTCCCATTTGATTGTATCTGTTTTTCCTGTAAAGTAGATGTCCTCTACCGAGTGGAGAGTTAGACGTTTGAAGGGAGTTGGAGGGGTGAGGAGAGGAAAGAAGGTTCAAATTAGCCATCATGGAGAATATGGGAGGGATTGATGAGAGTAAACTAACATAAATTGTTGGACATTAAGACTCATTCACTGGAAGTGGGTGGTAACAGCATGAGTTCAGTTTTCTTTATTAGTGACTTTCAGGCCAGTTCTGCCATCACATTTAGTACAGTTAATGGTTTATGATCACTACCACCTAGGATTAAAAACAGGCATATTACTTTTAAAGCTTGTCAAGCTAATGTTTTTAGTGTGTTGAGTAAATTGGAGAAGGATGAAGAAATCACATTCCACTTCATTTTGATATCCTTAATTTATGCAGAACATTTCTTGAGAATAGATTATAGATGTGTATGCTAACTCATTTTAAGTTTATATTAAACTATGTGATCTTAAATACCTAATTGCCAGAATTTAACAGTTGTCCCTCAGTATCCACAGGGAATTTGTCCCAGGACCACCCCATACCAAAATCTGAGGATGCTCAAGTCCCTTATATAAAATGACATAGTATTTGCATATAACCTATGCACTTCCTCCTCTATACTTGAAATCATCTCTAGATTACTTATAATACCTAATACAATGTAAATGCTATGTTAATAGTTATACTCTATTTTTAAAATTTGTAATATATTCTTAATTGTATTATTTTTTACTGTATTTTTTCCTGCATATTTTTGATCTGCAGTTGTGGAGCCTGCAGATATGGAGGGCTGAGAGTAATGTATTTTAATAGTAAACTCATTTTTCTTAAAATGTAATTTTCAAAATGTACAGAAAGTTTTCCAGCAATGTTCCCAAATCCAAATTCACTCATTATTAAAATTGTTTGTTTTTTTTACACAGGGTGTGATAGGTATACAGCTGGTTGTTACCATGGTGATGGCCAGTGTCATGCAGAAGATTATACCTCACTATTCTCTTGCTCGATGGCTACTCTGTAATGGCAGGTAAGGCAAGGATAGGCTGATTTCACCTGGCACTTTCAATCTCTAGTTTACCAAACTGATTAACTTCCTAGTTACTGTTTCTAAAAGTATAACAAAGGGAAGTCAGAAGAAAAATCTAGCTTTCTTGTTTCTCTTAAAAAATTATTATTATTTTTTTCTGTGAAGACAAGACCTTGCTATGTTGCCCACGCTATTCTTCAACTCCTGGCCTCAAGCGATCCTCACACCTCAGCTTCCCAAAGTTCTGGGATTGTCTCGCTCTAGCTTTCTTATTACTCTTAGTTTGAGATATTTTTAGTTTATCTGTTTAGCACAAAGGTAATAGGGTCGTGGACAAGAATTCAGTCCTCTCACCGCTGCCTTTTTTTTTTCTCTGTCTGTGGGCACTGAAAACACCACATATTTTTCTAATTACCTTAAAAAAAATTTGGTCAACAAGGGGATGAGAAATTGTAAATCCAAGTGCTTAAATATTTTTACCATTGTTCGAAGAAAATATTGAAAGCATATATTCTATTGGTGACTCAATCCAGAATTTATTATAATACAGATGTTAGGAGGTCTCAGTTTTACTGCAAAGAATTTTAAACTGTTTAATTTAGCAAGGAAGGGGATGAAGTTGTGTTGTGGGATTTTAATTTTGTCTACTACACTATAAGCTCACAATCCCTACTCCTTCCACAAAGGAGCTAAGTAGACTTGCTGAAACATGTACCTCCCACCCCCCAAAAAATTAGATTTAAAAACTATAGATATAGATACAGTGGGGCAAAATCAAAGAAAGTCTGCACACAGAAAAACATGCCAAAATCCTGTGTAATTGTGAAAGGTAAGTGATAAATTTGGTACCGTGACTATTTACTTCAATTATTCATTTCAGTTAAATAACCAAATTTTGTTACTGCTTTGTATGTCCATTTTCTTTTGGTTAGGCCTGTTAAAGTTAGAAAAAAATGGATACCTGTCCTAGTAATGATTTTATGTTCTACATGACAAATACACTTTTCATTCAGGGTCTTCCCATTTACAAAGCTTAAATTTCCTTCACAGAATTTATTTTCTGTTTTAAATTATTTATATTCTTCTTTATGCTTTCTACTTTTTCCATATTGATGTTTAATATTGAAAAATATTATTCAGACTGCTTTAAAATTTGTTTGGAACAATGTGATACACAGGTGTGTGTATGTATAATGAATGTGTGAGAGCGGTTCACAAATGCACATTTTTAGGAGAAAAATAAATAATGACTAAAGTTTTGGTGAAGTGTAAAATAAGTGAAAATCAATAATCTTTAACTATTTTTTTTTTTACCGTGTAGGCTTAATATGCCTGTGCTATCTTGTTTACTGATTTCACTTATCTAAACCTTTTTCGAAGACCAGGAAAAGATAAACATCAGCTGGGCAAATTATCATTAATTTGAAGTAAAAAGGGTCTCAGGAAACTACATAACGTACATTAAGGTAGCTTATTTTCTCCTGAGAATTGTGTGTTTCTAAACTATGTTTATGATGTAATGTCACTTCTATATCTCCTTTGTCTGTAAAGACCTTGACAATTTTGTCCCATTTTAGTGTACGTACATTTTCATCTTGTTACATATTCTACTTTCCATCTATTTCTATAAAATTTATTCTCACTAGTGAAAACTAAAGCCTGAGAGATCAAAAACCTGATTATCTTTATTAATATTGGAAGATTTATATTTAAAATCTTTCTCTGATAAGAATGTTTCATAAGTATACATAGATAATTTGAGGGTAAGCTCAGCCTTTAAAAAGCAACACGAAATTGGTTTTCTTTGTGATCTTGACTTGCTTTTGTAAATAGATTAACTTTTATGTTAATTAATGCTGCCTTTAATGCCATATCAGGGTCTAAGGATATCGAGACAGTCTAGTAATGGTTACTTTTCTGCTACAGGTAGTTTCATTTCCTCTCAATTTTTTTTTTTTTAAGATTATTTACCTTTTTTAATGTTAAATCCTGAAATTTTGAGGTCATGTCATTTATCTCAATTGAATAAAATTATTGATTTTATCCTTTTGGCATAATTATTGTTTTATGAGCCTTTTGTAATATATAATGATACTGTTTTAACAGAAAAAAACCTAAAATTATAAATTGAATTGCCTATGTAAAAATATTACTGATCAGAAATGACAGTTTGCATTTTAAATCATATGATGCAGTTGGGTTGATAAATCTGAGAGCATTCTTTAGGGTCCATAAATGCTTAAAGGAATTAAAGGAATTTAAGGAGAGGATCATGATTTTTTTTTTTTACAACGATGAATAGTGTAGGATGGCTTCGGAGTGACTATATCGAATAGGCTGGCTTTGGAGTGATAATATTGAATAGAACTATTTAAAAGAACTATTCAAGTAAATAGATGTGTAGATAACAGAGATTAATCATGAGTATGACAGAAGAAATTTGTTTCTATATATATCATGTTAATATTCATGTATTCCATTGGTATCCTAAATTGTAAATAAATGTTCTTTTTTTTTAGTTATGGCTTCTCTTTTGGTGTCAAATAATCTGTCCCTGTCTCTCATTGACTGGCCAATCATGGATCAAAAATATTCAGAAAAAAAATACAAATTTAAGTTTAAAAAAACACTATAAAAACTATTTATATAGCATCTACGTTGTATTAGGTATTATAAGAAACCTAGATATTATTTAATGTATAAAGGAGAATATATAGTTTATATGCAAATAAAAACTTTCATTATATAAGGAGTTTTAGCATCTTTGGATTTTGGTATCCTGGAAGGGGTGTTGTGGGTATTGGATGGTCCCCTACCTACCCTCAATTTCCCTCAGATACCTGGGGACAGTTGTATGTTGACTTAATGAGTAAGCCATTTTCCTTGATGAAATAAGCAATTATACTTGATGGAATAAGCAGCTTTTACTTACAAATTAGCAGTTTGTTGATTTTTTAATATTAAAAAATTGACTTATTTTCTAGCTCTTGTTAAATAACACATATTGCTATTAGTATTTTTTTAGACTGTTCTTTTAAACTTTTTTTTTTTAAAGAAACTGTGTATAGTCTTTAGTCTGGTTTAACTCCGTTCATATTATCCTTATAATTGTTTAAAACTTCTTTATACTGATACAATTTTTAAATGTTTTGTTTCATTTAGATCTGTTCATTGAGCTAGGGAGATGTGGTGATATGTTGCAGCTTCCAAAATCTCAGTGTTATAAAATTAATGAAAGTTTCTCAGTTTCTTCAGACACGAAGCAGGGTCAAATGGGGAATCAGAAAGGGATTGGGCAGCTCTCCAGGTAGGTCCTTCACAAAATGATGACTCAAGGGCTCAGCTCTCCTCTGAGCTGTCCTTCTTCCCTTATGGCTCTTCTGTTCCCCCTGCTACCCTAGAGTCCCCTGCTAGATTGCTGTGCCAGTTGGTGGGTGAAGAGAGAGTAAGCTGTGGATCTTTCAGGATATTCTAAAGTGTCAAACTTAGAAGTAGATACATCATTTTTGCCCACATTGCATAGGTTGGGGCCCTGTGACTAGTTCTGGCCAAAGTGCTGGGGAGGCTGGGAAATAACACTTATGATATAAAAAACAAGATTGGTGAGTACCTAGTTGCTTTCTGCCATAGGTGATATTATCTCCATTTTTACAAATGACAAAACAAGTTTTAAATGATTTACTCAGTTTCACACACTGATAAATGAAACTGAAAGTCTGATTCACAGTCTAGTATTTATGTGATTTATGGCTGCTCATCAGTTCCACATCTTGTCCTGGAGCTGTCATACTTGAACAGAGTTTTAAATTTGGTCAGGGAGACAAATACAACTTTTTTGCAATCACTGTGACTTTTGTTGGCAGTTTACAGGGTAATTTATTTAAATTATTTTCCTTTTCTATTTTGTTTTTCGAGCCATACTTTGTCTTTTAGAATATATCCTTCAGGTTATAAGTAGTATGCACTTCGCTTGCTATATTCTTATGGATTCTTCACGACAACATAATCAGCTTTTATTTAAAGTAAATTAAAAGACACATCAGCATTTGATTACCAAAAGCATGCTAAGTATTAAGTAGAGTTTAAGAACCTAATGCCCTCACACTGTCTCTTTCTCTTTCCTTCCTAAAAGGGAATAAAAATCCTAAGAAGTTGCTTCTCTGTTGTGAACTGCTTTTCCTCATATAAGGAACACTTGTTCTAACAGTTGGTCATATCAGTTAAAGACGTTCTTATCATGTCCCACATACCACTGATTTGTAGCCAGAGTATTCACTACTTTGTATTGTAATAAAAGTTCCTTTTTGTTTTGAAGTTTGCTTGGCCCCTCTTTTCTTGGAGAGGTAAGTGTTAGGTTATATTCTTTGTACATTTGAATAGTGGGTTTTGCATGAGGAGTAGGATACTGCTTTTTCTCTGTGATAGCTTCCTTGCTGAACCTGCTTTCTGTTTTTTCTGATTGCTTAGTTCAAACCTCATGCATTTTTCTCTACCCCTTTATCTTCCTAAAACTACTTTGGTCTGCTGTTTCCCTTCATATGTCCCTCACTGAAAATATATTATGGTCAGATTTATTCTGATTTTTGTCTCATCCCATATCGATTAAAGAGGGTGTTACACCACCTTCATATTCAGTTGCTCAATTGCTCTAATTCTTTGTGCCTGTTCTTTATTGCATGTTGCCTGATCCAGTAATCTGCAAGTTCCCTTTGGTGAGAGAAACCTACTATTCAAATGCACAGTAGGTGGGACCTATGACCTAAGGGAAAGGTTTAAACCTTCAGCTAGCACCCTTATGGAATGCCTGAGTCCTTGCTCTCCTCGCCTTAGCTTTTCCAACTTCCAGTTCCAGAATGTTCATGATATTCTATCAAAATTTCCAACAAGTGTATATAATGTGTATAACAAATAGTATTTTAGCTACTTATGCTGAAAGATTGTCTAGCTTTTAAGTGGTATTTGTTTTCGCTTAAGCCTCCCCGCCACTGGTCAAAATTATAGAGATTTAGAATGGAGACTAAAACTGTCATTAGTGACTGTTTTAGTAGGTTAGGGCTGCTATTACAAAGTACCATAGACTGGGTGGCTTATCAACAGCAGAAATGTATTTCTCAGTTCTGGAGGCTGGAAGTCTGAGGCCAGCATGCTAGTATGGTCAGGTTCTGGTAAGGACCCTGTCTCAGGTTGCAGACTGCTTCTTGTATCATCACCTGGTGGAAAGAGAACAAGCTAGTTCTCTGACCTCCTTTTAAAAGGGCAGTAATCCTATTAATGAGGGCTCCACTCTCATGAACTAGTAACTCCTGAAAGTTCCCACCTCCAAATATCAAATTGGGGGTTAGATTTCAACACAAAAATTTGGGGGGGTGGGGACCATAAACATTCAGCAGTGACCTATGTTGTATATCATGAAATAGAGTTTTATATGATTATGTATTAAAGCTTATTTAGCTTGCGCTATTAAAACTATGCTTTTCTGTGTTTGCTCACATTTAGGTTTCTATTTTAAATTTCTAAAAGTTTTATTTTTTCAAATTTCTAAAACACTATAAATGCTACTTAAATTTTAAAAATAAAGTCTAGGTCAGGACATTATTTTCTGCTACATATTTTTTCAGTGGTGTTGAACTGTTTTAGTATGAGTTGTAGTCTGTTTTACATTAGAGGTTTATGTAAGAATGATCATTGAAAAATTATTTTAATTATTTAGTAGAGTACAATATCAGATTGGCTTTATTATCAGAGTCACTGCAGATAATCTGAGCATAAGTGAAAAAAGCCACCAAGTAGCCAAGGTAAAAGCTATGTACTGAAAAGTTGTATATTTAACTTAAATATGAGAGACTTATTTATTTTAGAGACAGGATCTTGCTGTGTTGCCCAGGCTGGTTTCAGATCCTAGGCTCAAGCAATCCTCCTGCCTTAGCCTCCCAAAGTGCTGGGATTACAGGTGTGAGCCACCACACCCAACTGAGTTTTTAAGTGAGACTCTGTTAATACTTACTCTCTATTTTCTAAGAAATATATATTTTTCCCGTTTCAAAAACAGTACATATCTATAATGTGGAAAAATATAGTAAATTGATAAGTAAAATTAAAAGGCAATGAACTATATTCCCGTCATTCAAAGACAGTCACTTTGTAAATTTTTTTGTATTTCTAATTGTTTCTGTTCATATTTTCCCCTCATGCTTGTGATATATTTTATATCTAATTTTACATCATGTTCTTTGCTTAACATATTATCATAAAGCATTTTTCTCTAATTGTATTTTTGTGACCATTGACTTGCTGCATTCTAATGACTTTTATATCTGTATCTGTCTTCCAAGCCCATATTAGAAAGGCACGCATAGTGCAGCAGTTGCAAGCAGGCAGTCATTTTACTGAGATAGACATACCACCTAATAGCAAAGGAAAAGACTGGAAATTGAGACCAGAATACAAAGTGTAGTAGCTGGGAACTATAGCATATGGAATCAAACTGTATATGCAGCACTGACTGCTAAAGAAAATTGTGAAACTGTACTTCTGGATTTTACTTGGAATCTATGATCACAGACCTTAGATGGCTGCTTTATACTGCCTGACAGAGTTTGTATGCTGTACTTCTCAGACAACGTTTTCAACCTAAATCCTTTCTCTCGAAAACTTAAGCATCCCTACCTCAGCCTCACCCTAAGCTCTTGAAACCAGAGCCCATCACTCTCATCTGTATACTACCAAACCACAACTCTGGTTAAATGTGCAGCCCGTCTTCTTTATCTTTAAATTTGTAAAATATATTTTATCACCTGCTCCATTTCAGTTGGATTATTCCTGTTACCACACACACTTTTTTTTAAAAAAAAATTCTCCCATTTAAAGTAACAACAACAAATAAAGAAGTCACAGCTCTACCTCTCTCCTCCTTAAAAAACGAAGCCCCTCCATATCCATTTCTTGGTTTTTGGCCATTGCTTTATTTCCCTTTGTAGCCAAATTTGTTCATATGTTGTCTACATAAACTTTACTTTTTCACTTTCTCAGTAACTAGTGTTACACTATCTTTTAGTTCCTTTTTAGTTGGTTTTATTAATCCCTATGGATTTAGATATCACAATTATATAATCACCTCAAATTATCTCTGAACTACAGATTCTAATATGTAGTTGCCCTCTTGTCATTTTTACTTGATGTCTCATGGGTACTTAAAACTCAGCATTTTTAAGTTCGTGATTTCTTCCTGATCTCTTCCATATCAGAAAATGTACCATCATCTTCAAATCAGAAATGTAGATATTATCCTTTATTACTTACTTTTGTTCACTCTCTACCTTTAGTCCATCAGCAAGACCTGTTGATTCACTGCCCTTGTCTCCTTCTAATTAACAGAACAATGAAAGGGATCTTAAAATGTGAATCGAATTATTTATCTACATTGCTTTGAGACCATTATTTAGCGTAAAATCTAAAGTCCATACTATGACCTATTAGCCTTTGCATGATCTGTTCCCGTCTTACCTCTTCAGCCACCTCTTATGTTTCTCCTTGAAGCTCTTGCCTCATTGGCTTTTAGTTACTGCAGTGTCTTATGTTCTTTCATGTCTCTGTGCTTTTGGACTTGGTGTTCTCTGCCTGGAATGCTCTTCCTCTGTTTTCTCATTCTTAAGGTTGCTGGTTAAATGTCTCAGAGAAGTTCGTCCTCACCTAATATCTAAGGCTGTCTCTCACATTTTCACCACTTGTTTCATTTACTTGTTTAATGTGGGATTAAAATTTATTTTTCACTATTTAATTGATTAAATTTTACCCCCCAACTGGAATATAACCATCAAAAAGGCAAGGGCTTTGGCTTTATTTGGTTGTGATTATATCTCCTCTGCCTAGCAGAGTATCTGAATACAGAAAATTCTCCCTAAGTGACTGATAAATGAATGAATGGGTAGGTGAGTTACAGACTAGAAGTGACCCTAAAAGTATCACGCATCCTTAGATTCCAACTTTGAACAATAATTCTCACTAATAACGATAACCCTGAGTTATCCCATAGGAAATGTAATAAATCTAAGCCATTTTAGAGAAATGAGTTTACAAAATAAGATTTAACAAGCATGAGTATATTTAAAAAGAAAATGTGTCTTAAGGCTGGGCGCGGTGGCTCACACCTGTAATCCCAGCACTTTGGGAGGCCAAGGTGGGCAGATCACGAGGTCAGGAGATTGAGACCATCCTGGCTAATATGGTGAAACCCCATCTCTACTAAAAATACAAAACATTAGCCGGGCGTGGTGGTGGGCGCCTGCAGTCCCAGCCACTCAGGAGGCTGAGGCAGGAGAATGGCATGAACCTGGAAGGCGGAGCTTGCAGTGAGCCGAGATTGCGCCGCTGTACTCCAGCATGGACAAGAGAGCGAGACTCTGTCTCAAAAAAAAAAAAAAGGTAGAGAATGTGTCTTAAAATATTTCATTACTATAGGGCTCTAAATAAAACCTAATTTTTCCTATGCTGAGAGTTCTTTCACTAATTACTATTTCTCAGAGCTGAACAACTGATTTTAATCTTTATACATGAGTTATTCTGGATCATGTTATTTTATATGAGTTATTTCTTATAAGTGTTCTTCTAAATGTTATGCACTCATCCTCATTATTTGTAGATTTTGTTTTGGGATTTGCCTACTTGCTAAAATGTATTTGTAATTCCAAAATCAGTGTTTTTGTGGTCATTCATGGACATAGACGGTGATGAAAAATTTGAGTGGTCTGTACGTGCATGCTTCTGGTTGAGGTCTAACAAGGCAACAGTCTGCCTTATTGTTTTGGCTGTCATACTGTAAACAAATCTCTTTTTTATGATCTGTTTAGGGCCACATTTTTTTTACAATTTTGCTTTTCATTGGTGATCTTGCTGTTTAAAATGACCCCCAAGCATAGTGCTGGTGGTAGTGTCTAGTATTCCTAAGCACAAGAAGGCTGCCTTATGGAAAAAAATTGCTGGAATGATGCACAGAACTCAAAAAAAATGCTATACTTAATGATTACTAGTATTAGATAAGCTTTGCTCAGGGATGAATTATGCTTTTGGCTGTGAATTCAATGTTAGCGAATCAATGATATATATTAAATAAGATATATTTAAACAGAAACACACATAAAACAAGCTTGGGTATTGATCAGTTTATGAAAATGTTATGACCGGAAGCTCACAGGAACCTAACCCTGTATTTGCCCTAGGAGCAATGGTTCAGTGTTTGTGGCGACTTTATAAAACATAACTACCACGAATAATGAGAATCAATTCTGTAAGTTAAAATTCTGGACTTCAGTATAAATTCAGGAAGTGCCTCCTTACCTGTTTATTGTAATTTAGGGACTTTTAGATTGGGACATATATATTTTTTATCTTAAATTCATTAAGCAAAGAACTGAATTCATTTTGGTTCAGTTATCCTTTTTGAGCACTTACTATATGCCAATAACTACTAGCTTTGAAGTATACAAAAAGCAAGAAAGCCATAAAATCTTTTATCCAAGAATCTTTCACTTAGGGTAACATTCCATTTTAATTTTAATCCAACTTATCTGAAACCACCTGGATGTGCTACGCTTGTATTCTGACAGTAATTACCTGGAGTTAGTACAAATCCCACAGGTTAAAGGCCAAGTTCTCCATAAGACTGCCCCTACTTCAGATACCAGCTTCAAGTTTTCAGGGTACCCAGGCCACCTGCACTTCTGACTTATTAATAGGTTACAAATCTGAGGATTCCCATGATCCCCTCAGGTCCAGTAATCTGCTAGAATGATTCATAGAACTTAGGAAACTGCTTTATCTATTTTTACAGTTTTATTTAAAGGAAGCACATAGGGTTAGGTCTGGGAAAGAGCAGAGTTTCCATGCCCTTTCTTTCCCTCTGGAGTCTGAGGATGTCACCCTCTGGGCATATCAATGTGTTAACCAACAGGAAGTTCATCTGAGCTTTGATGTCCAGAGTTTTTTTGAGTTTCATTATATAGGTACAATATTAAGTCATTGATACAGAATTGATTTCAATGATCCAACTCAATTTTCAGGACCCATCCCTGGAGGTCAAGTTCCTGAAAGTCCTGACCCTCTAATCTTGTGCTTGGTGTTTCTGATAATCAGCTCCATCCTGCAGCTATCTGGGGCCCGCCTTGACCTACCTCATTAGCATAACAGAGATACTTCTACCACTCTCCTGTTTATAAGGACTTTTAAAACTCTGTGTCAAGAAATGGGGACAAAGAGCAGATGTATTTTTTTTATTATACCACAAGAAGACTGCTTGTAAACACTAAGAGATAAATTAAGAGTTTGCCAAGTAGGGAAATAGGTGTTTACAAGGAGAGAAGAATATATGCAGAAAGCACCAACGGATGAAAGAATTTGTGAGGAAGAAAATGTCACTTCGTCAAGCCAGAAAGTGTCACCTTCAAATGAAAATGGTTGAAGGTGAACCTGGAAAAGTAGGCATCGGTCAGATCATGAAAGGCTGTAGAAGCAAGAGATAATGCATGACTCCCATACAGATGTGGGCCTTGTAATATATATTTTAATGGAAAATTTCAAGTATGCAAGGAGTAGATACAATGATGAATTCCTGTGTACTCATCACAGTTAATAGCTGGTGGCCAAACTTGTTTCATCTGTACTTACCCCACTTTACATTTCAGTGTATGTATCAAAAATAATGAGTTTTTTAAAATTACCACAATCTCATCGTACCTAAACTTTTTTAATAATAATTTTTTAATATCATCAAATATTCAGTCAGTGCTCAGATTGCCAATTCTACAGTTGTTGGGTTTTTTGTGTGTTTTTTTGTTTTTGTTTTTGTTTGAGATAGGGTCTTACTTTGTTGCCCAGAGTGGAGGGCGGGGGCACAATGATGGCTCATTGCAGCCTTGACCTCTCAGGCTCAAGCAGTCCTCCTACCTCATCCTCTCCCCCGACCACAGGTGCATGCCACCAGGCCTGGCTAATTTTTAAATGTTTTATAGAAGAAGGGTCTCACTGTGTTGCCCAGGTTGGTCTCAAACTCCTGGCTTCAGACAATCCTGCAGCCTTCTAAAGTTCTGGAATTACCAGTATGAGCCACCACGCCTGGCCTGCAGTGTTCTTAAAACAGCAAATCAAAGAGACCGTGTGCCATGACTAATGTTTGTAATCCCAGCATTTTGGAAAGCTGAGGAGGGAGGATCCTTTGAAGCAAGGAGTTTGCGACTCCTCTGGGCAACCAAGTGAGTCCCTATCTCTATTTGGGGGGGGGTGGGTAACAGCAATTGGGAAATTTCAAATTTAAAAATTCTAGATTTTTGTAATTGAAGAATTGGGGCGTCTAGCATACTAGATGGATTTCTTCCTCTATAATAGGGCCTTTGTCAAAGGTTTTGCCTAGCTGCCTTATTCATTGCTTTTCTCTGTGAGGAGCCTTGGAAGTGATTTAAACAGACATGAGTCTTGATAAGATTTGTATTATGGAAAATAAGTAAAGGTGGTCCACCTTTCTATAAGGTGAAAAAACAAGAAAACAATAACTAGAGGTAAGCTCAGGTGGATTTGATGAGTAATGTGTCCACAGGAAGGCAGGGAGGATACCAGTGAGAGAATTTTGCAGTAGTCAGATGTTCAGAGGAAGATACACTGAAGTAAGGTCTCTGCAGTAGGGCAGAGTTTAGAATTTTAAGAGATGAGGAACAGAATTAATAATAACATGTGGAGAGGGCACATTGAAAATAAGATATAAATATCAAATTTAAGTGATTGGTAGATAGTTGGTACGACTAGGCAAGCCATGAAATTCAGGATGAGCCACTTGGTGCTTGGGAGGGAATAACTGTTTAGTTTGGATCTTGAGTATTCACTTCAGATTAAAGTATTTTGACTGTGGTAGAGAGGAATACAACCAGTTGTTGGATCCTTACCTGAGGAAGGTTAGATATAGCTAAAAGTAAAGTGTTTTGTAGTACAATGATTTTCTCTAATTATTCTACACGTAAAGTTTGAGAATTCTCGAACTAAATTAAAAAAGCAAAAGAAAGGAAAGACTACCTGTAAACATGAGAGTTCATTCAAACAACTCTCTTTTTAAGATAATTCTCAGTTCCTTCAAATGAGAGATTAGTAGAGAATTAATGTGCTCCTGTCCACTTGGCTACAGACTTCACTTCATTTACTTTTAATAATAAGCTTGTATAATCTTAATATGTATTAATACATTGTCATTTGTAAGAAATATAAATACAAATGGCATTGCTGGACCTGGCATCTAGTAAGTGGTTGGTAAGTGTCTGCTGGATGTTTATCTAAACCCTTTTAAAGTTTAAGAGCTAGTATTTGTTTCAGATTACAGTTTTCACCTGATATTTCTCGACAGTGTCTTCACAAATATGAAACTTAATAAATATAGGATAAAGAATAATTCTGGTGATTTTAAGCGCTTTATTTAAAAGGATTCTTTTTTTGCTTAGTTTGAGGTGGTATCAACATCCTACAGAAGAAGAATTAAGAATTCTTGCAGGGAAACAGCAAAAAGGGAAAAGCAAAAAAGATAGGTAAGTTATACTGAGCTTGTAAAGTGTTAAATATTTAACACAATTTGTATAAATATATTTTATGCTTTGAGTAAAGAAACATAACAATTATGTTGTAAGTAGTTGATAAATTTGAGATCAAAACCCATGAAAATCTAATCTGTAGTAATATATACACACAAAATAGTGATTATTTTACTCAAGAATGGTTAACTTTATTCTTTGTTTAAATCATGAAAACAATATAGCCATCATACTAAAGAAAATGTAGTTGGGGTTGATTGGGGAGAGACTTATAACCTGTATCTTTATCCTACAATTCATCAAAGATGTCAGTTGGTTTGGGTTATTTTCCAGTTTTTGCTGCTACTGTGTATTATGACATTGGGGAAATTAACCTGCTCTTGGCCTCAGTTTCCTCATTTTAAAATTAAAAGGGATGGACAATATAACTATGTAGGTGCCATCAGCTCTTGAATGTTCTTTTCATGTTTAAAGTTTATGAAGAGAACTGCCTACTAATAAACCTCACAGAACAGACCATAGTAGCCTCATCTGTGAGATGGAAAGAGTAAACAAAACAATGTTTTGAATAATCCTTCCAACTTTAAAATTTTATATCTCTATTTAAATAGAATTCTTAGGGAGAGTGCATATTAATTACCTCTCTGAATGGACCGTAGTTTTCTCAACTGGGGATCCAAGAGGACGTCTTAGGTCCCCTGTGACTCTGAAATCATGATTGATTGACAACAAATTATAACCATGTTTCTCATGTATATCATAAAAATGCTAACCTAGCCCAATACATTTATAGAAGCTAAAAAATAATTAAACATTAATGATTATTTGGCATGAAATTGGAAATTTGAAAAGACTGTCTTTTTTAATCTTACTACTATCCTTTTTCACTTATCATTACAAATATACCTGGAAGCTCATTGGAATATTAATAGTAAACCTTCCTTCTTTTTAGTCCAGTAGTTAAGTTCTTTAATAAAATAGTCCTTCCTAACATTATAGTTTCCAGAGCACTTTTATACACAGTTCTACTTAATCCACAAAAAAAAACCAAGAGTGTTAGCTAATAATTTAATTTACTCTTTATTAATGAGAAGCTATTGATCAGAGATATTAAATGAGTTGCCCAAGTTCACATAACTAGTAAGGTTACGTACTGGTAACCAGGATTTGAATCCAGGTTAGTTTTTAGTTTCTGTTTCTTTTTAACTATTCCACTTCCACCTATTTATAGCGACCATGTTCAACATTTATAAAGTTTAGTTATGTAGAAAGAGTCTCACTCTGTCAGTCAGGCCAAAGTGCAGTGGCAGAATTCTGGCTCATCATGGCTTCAACCTCCTAGGCTCAAATGATCTTCCCACCTCAGCCTCCCAAGTAGCTGGGACCAGATGCATGCAACACCATGCCCAGCTAGTTTTTTTTTAAAAAAATTTGTAGACACGGTCTCCTAGTGTTACCCAGGCTGGTCTCCCTGAGATTAAGCAGTCCTCCCGCCTCGATCTTCCTGGCCTCTCAAAGTGTTGAATTACAGGTGTGAGCCACTGCACCTGGCCTGAATCCTTATTATAATGCCTTGTAATAAATAATTATGTTCTAGAGTAATTTTTAATAGGTTGAACATGCCTTATAGTTACAAAAAGATACATTAACGTTGCTGTTTTATTCCTAGTAACAAGAATTATTTTTTGGTTTATTGACATGAAATTATTTTTTCCTGAGGCTTCCCAGTTTTTTATTCAAGGATAAATGCAAAGTTGTTTTTCAGTATTGAGATTAATAGTATTAAAACTTAGTTGAAGCTGGCCATGGGGGTGTGTACCTGTAGTCCCAGCTACTCAGAGGCTGAAGCAGGAAAATTGTTTGAGCCCAGGAATTTTGAGTCCAGCCTGGGCAACTGTGTGTCTAAAGAAATACATAAAATAATAAATTGAAACCTTAGTTTATTACTTTCTATATGTTTGTCTTTAAAAATTAAATTTGGAAATCATACAGATACACCAGAAGAATTTGTTTTCCTTCATCTGTGATTTTTAGTAAAAACTATTGCAAGTTAGTCTTTCATGTTTCTGAATTTCTCATACACATAAATCTTAATATAATTCTTCAACTCTGATTTGCATATGGTTCCGGGTCTGTTTATATGTATGTATGTGTGTGTGTTTATACACGTCACTTCAAGGAGAAGTGCACTTTGTCTTCATTTGCATTTACTCTTGTGCTTAAAGAAAAAAGAGAGTAGGAGAAATGGGTGTGAAATGCTAAGCTAGAAAAGAAAGGTTTTGTTGCAGTAACTAATTTAGGTAATTATTTCCCTGGTAATCTGTATATTCACATGATAATTTACATTCAAATTTTATAGTACCCTTTTTAAAACTACCTTTGAGTACCTTACATCCTTATTGATGAAATATTAGGAATTCTGCCTTTACACTGTGAAATTTAAAACTTCATTTGTAATTAGTTTGAAACAAGCACTTGGATAACAGTGTAGGTAACTTGTTTTTTGTGTCACTTGTCTGATTTTTATAGGAAATATAATGGTCACATTGAAAGTAAGCCATTAACCATTCCAAAGGATATTGACCTTCATCTAGAAACAAAATCAGTTACAGAAGTGGATACTTTAGGTAAGGGAAATCTTGGTAAAATGTTCTATGAATCTCAGTTTTATATTATGGTAGTGAAAGTACTTTCATTTTAATCATTAAGTCCATTATACGGAATAAGGAATCTTTCTAAGAACTTAGATGCTCAAATGACTTCATTTGAATTGAATTTCTTTTTTTGTTCACCTAACTTGTATTATTTTTCCTATTTTCGGAAGAGGCTAACTTACACAAGTTTATTATGCAGTTTCTGTTTATTAGATTGAGATCATAGTCAATTTTTATTATCTAGAATTCTAGACTTCCTTTTACTCTTTGTTTCAGCCTGCCCTTTTCTAATGTGGCTTGCAAAACTGCATTTGAAATGTCTGGCCATGAGCAGCCCAGGGGTTGGGGTGCCTACTTTTATGCAGTTGAAAAATCGAATACAACTTTTTACTGCTCATGAACCTAATTACTAACAGCCTACTCCTGACCAGAAGATTTACCAATAACATAAAAAATCAACACATATTTTTTGTGTTATATGTATTATATACTATATTATAACAATAAAGTAAGCTAGAGAAAAGAAAATGTTATTAAGAAAATCATAAGGGAGAAAAAATATATTTCCTCTTAAGTGGAAGTGGATCATCATAAAAGTCTTCATCACTGTGATATTCACTTTCAGTAGGCCGAGGAGGAGAAGGAAGAGGAGGGGTTGGTCTTGCTGGTCAGAGGTGGCAGAGGTGGAAGAGAATCTGCATATAAGTAGATGTGCACAGTTCAAACTGTATTGTTCAAGGGTCAACTGTATTTCTATTGATTTACCCATATTTAGAGTAATTCAATTTTATTCTCACATATATTAGAAAGGAAAATGGTTTTAGAATAATGAACTGAATTAGAAATCAGAAAAATTTACTTATTCAGGATTTACTTTCATCCATTTGTTATTTCCAAATAGGTCATTTAGTTTTCCTCCTATAAATTATAGAACTGTAGTGTCTCAATTATTGTAATTATATAATGACTACGATGATTCTAGTTTAAAATGATATTAATATGAAATTATTTGAATCTTAGAAGGAAGAGGCATCTAAGGTGATATAATTTAAAACATTGGTTTTTAAACTTTGGGATATATCAAAATCACTTGATGAGTTCTTTGAAATGGATTCTCTACTCCCATCCTTGAAGATTCAGTAAATGTAGAGTAGGTTTTGAGAATTTACATTTTTAAAAGTGCTCCAAGTGATTTTGATTTTTGACTAGGTTTGAGAACCACTGGTTTATGTGATAAATGAAATGATGCGTGTTTTTTAAAAATAATTCTGATAATGTCAAATAAGGTGTCATTATGTAATTTGACCCTTCTTGGGTTAAATCATACCACCATCAAAAAATCTTAAGAGGTCTAGCATCTCAAATAGTATTATTTTATGATACAAGGTGGCTTCGAAATACGTGAAGGTTTATTATTACATCTGTAAAGGTTGTATGTGTATGTAAAGCATGTCCTAGAACTAAAAAATATCAGTGAAGAGCAATATAAATCACTTGTCTAATATCATTTAGACTCTTTTTTTTTTTTTTTTGAGACGGATTGCTCTGTCACCCAGGCTGGAGTGCAGTGGCGTGATCTCGGCTCACTGCAAGCTGCACCTCCCAGGTTTATGCCATTCTCCTGCCTCAGCCTCCCGGGTAGCTGGGACTACAGGTGCCCGCCACCACGCCCAGCTAATTTTTTTGTATTTTTTAGTGGAGACGGGGTTTCACCATGTTAGCCAGGATGGTCTCAATCTCCTGACCTCGTGATCTGCCCACCACAGCCTCTCAAAGTGCTAGGATTACAGGCGTGAGCCACCGCGCCGGACCCATTTAGACTTTTAAGACTGGTTATGTCTTCCTTTTTTTTCTTTTTAACTATTTTACATTCAACATTTAAAACATTTAAAGGCACTTTGACTTTTTGATTAGTAGTTGTCACATATGTTTCACTACTCCTAAATGTGCTTACTTGTATAAAATGTTCATAGATACGTATAAGTACAATAATATATAAACGTTCTTCCTGATTTTTAGTAGTTTTGACATTTTTACAAATAATGTTTATTGAATAATTTGTCAGCTAGCTTTAATAAGATCTTAAAATTGTTGAGTATCAGACATGGTTATAATATTTTACTTGTATTACCCCATCCTCACAATTCTGAAGTAGGTAACTGTTATCAGTTTTTGTTTTTGTTTTTTTAATTCATTAGGAAGAAGAGTTAAATAACTTGGACAGGGTTACACACTGAATGTGGTACAGCCACTCAATGAGAACTAGGCTATTTTTATGAACTAAAAAAAAAAAAAAAAATTTAGGGTATTGTAGCTTTAGCATGTAGTTTATGGAGTATTTGGTTTCACTTTTAGGATTTTTAGAACTAGTCGCAAATGATACTCGTTTATCAACTGGTCATGTAATATCAAGAGCATTTCCAGTTAACCAGAATAGCAGGGAGATGTTCATATATGTTTGTAAGTTTTCTTAGTCATTTGTGAATGCATGTTGTATATGTGTGTTTAGGTGAAAGTACAGGGTTTTCTGTCTTCTTTTGACTTCAATATTTTATTAAAAGGCATATATATAATTGTATTATTGATTACACAAAGAATGTAACACGAGTTAAATAGCCAAGAATATATATAATTTGTACTTTCATGGAATGTATATATTATTGATGTCCCAATAATTATCATAAAAGTCTATTTTAATTTGTATTAACTATGTATTATAAGAACTTCTTAAAGAACATCAGAACTTTTGAATGTCACTTCACTGTTTGCTATGAGTGAGTTCCATGGAGGAAGTCCCTATGAGTATGGGTAGGTTTGGAGAATTAGAATGCTTATTTAAATTATTGATAATAAAACTGAAAACTTTAAATGGATTTTGGTCTGTCCTTTCCATCCACTTCCCGACCTCCTTCCAGATAGAAAGCTCAGTATGGGTGATTTTTTTTTTTTTTTTCTTAGCAGGAGGAAGGGATTGAGGGTAAGCATCCTGTAACTGCATCAGGATCTTTCAGGCTTATGTTCAGAAGCTGTAGGTAAATCGCAATAGAAGACCTAAAGCAGGGCTGTGGTTCATACCTGTAATCCCACCTCTTTTGGAGGCCGAGGTGGGAGGATGGCTTGAGCCCAAGAGTTTGAGAACAGCCTGGGCAATATAGTGAAACCATGTCTGTACAAAAAATTTAAAAATTAGCCAAGTTTGATGGTGTGCATCTGTAGTCTCAGCTACTAGGAAAGCTGAGGTGGGAAGATTGTTTGAGCCCCAGAAGCTGAAGCTGCAGTGAGCTATGATCACACCGCTGCACTCTCAGAAAACCTAAAGCAGTTAACCTAAAAGTTAAAGTACATTGAAGTAGATTAAGAGTGTTACAATAACTTGATGCAAATTTAAAAATCATAAAAGGATTTTGGATTATTAAAATGTTATGTTCATCTTATAGAAATGGTATAAAATTTGGTTAGTTTTGATACTACTTTTAATAGGTCTTACTGTATGTGATATTTTCAAAATACTTTTTCTATAAGATTGTTGTATTTTCAAGTGTAATTGTATTATATTTTATCACTAAAAACTATCCAAAGCAATGCAGATCATTTTATTATGTGCCGTAAGAACATCTGAATTGATGGTTATATACGTGATTTACTTCCACATTTTTAGGAGGCCTTCTAAAAAATGATGTTGATGTTTTGGACTACACTCTGGTAGAAGTAAACCAGAATACCTATGCCAACTGAGATGCAAAGGGTGATGGAATTATATTTACTTTCAAAGAATGTTAATTTCAATGTAAACTCTTAAGAATGGAATAGTTTGTTGAAAGGGTATGGTTTTATGGAAAATTAACAGACATTTTATAAACTTTTCTTGCAGAACAAAACAGGGTATAAGAGTTATATTTAGTTCATTATTTTTCTTGAGACAGAGTCTTGCTCTGTCATTCAGGTTGGAGTGCCGTGGCGTGAACTCAGCTCACTGCAACCTCTGCCTCCCAGGTTCAAGCTCTTCTACCTCGGCCTCCCAAGTAGCTGGGACTACAGGTGCCTGCCACAACGCCCAGCTAATTTTTGTATTTTTAGTAAAAACGGGGCTTTGCCGTGTTGGCCAGGCTAGTTTCGAACTCCTGACCTCAGGTGATCCGCCTGCGTTGGCCTCCCAAAGTGCTGGGATTACCGGCGTGAGCCACCGCGTCCGGCCTTGTTTATTATTTTAATCTGTAGTATTTCATAGAATTACTAGTTTACAATTAGTACAGCCAATAATTGTAACATAAAGTTTAACTCTTACTTCACAGAAGTGAACAGTAGAACTAAATTGTTGTGTTCCAGACTAAGTTGTTTTCTGAAGTGAAGGTATTTAAAATAAAACACTTATAATTTCTGTAAAAAATAGCTAATCAGTTAATACCAATAAATTTGCAATCATACTTTACCAACAACTTAAATAACTTTGGTAGTCTTTTAAGGTTTGTTTTAATTTGTGAGGTATTAAAATTTAGTTTTGGATGCTAACATCCTCATTCTATTTCCTGCATTTTTAGATTCATATATTTGTAAATCTTACATTGCAAATGAACAAATAAAGTCTAGCATATTTTAATTATAAGTCCTCATAAGTTATTTATGAAAATTTAAGTGAAACTTTTTTTTTTCCCCCCCAGCATTGCATTACTTTCCAGAATACCAGTGGCTGGTGGATTTCACAGTGGCTGCTACAGTTGTGTATCTAGTAACTGAAGTCTACTACAATTTTATGAAGCCTACACAGGAAATGAATATCAGCTTAGTCTGGTGCCTACTTGTTTTGTCTTTTGCAATGTATCCTTCAAAACATCATTAATATTAATTTATTTTGCAGATAACACCATTAGGTCTCATCTCTGATTTGAGAAAGATTTTATGTTATTAGATAACTTTTCTTTATTGAAATCTTTTTTATGTAATTGAAAATATTTTCAAAGTAATAGAGTTAAATAATTTAAAAAGCTAAATGTAAGAAAAATGCCAGTGCCCTGCTTTTCCTTTTTATCCAAGTCTAATGTCACAGAGACAGCCACGTTCACCCCTTTTAGGCATTTATTTTAGGAATTCCTTCCTTGTGTTTAAATATTATGTGATAATGGTACTATTTATATATTACTGCACCTTTCTCCCTCTTCTCTTTTCTTCCCTTCTTTCATTCTCCCAAAATAGTTAGAGATAACATTTTATTAAATTTATAGTCAGTTTTACCATGTTATGCCTATGAAAATATTATTTACAGCTGGACATTATAGTGTATTATTACTACTATAAATAATTTTTTATTTTTGTAATTGTGGAAACTATAAACTCTTCCACAGAATTGGTAGAATCTCAGTAGTTCAGATACTTCATTTCTGTTTTTTTTTTTTTTTTTCTCATAGAAATATCCTCCTGGAGCCCTCAGTTTTCTAAACTTCAGTATAACTAATATCCTGTGACTTTCTTCACTGTCTTCCAAAAATTCCTTCTACCCCTTTCTGGATCTCATGATTTCCTCTTCCTTGGTTTATTCTTTTTTTTTTTTTTTTTTTTTTTAGCACATTCTCCTATGGTGTCCTTAGAAAGGGTGCTAAATTTTTATTTTTAAATCTTGCTTTCCTGGAATTATCTTTATTTTTCCCCTCATACTTGATTGATAGATTGGCTTAGTAGAAAATTCTAAGAAAGAAATAGGTTTGCTTGAGAATCTTGAAGTCTCTTGGGAAATTGGATATCCTTTGGTTTTTCATATATACCTATCCTTCCCCTAGTACATACACCCTCTGGAAGCTTTTTCTTTTTATTCTTCTGGTTTCTGACGTTTTATCATTGATAGTGCTAAGTTCTAGATTTACCCTTTAAATCTGAAAACTCATGTCTTTTACTACTATTTTTGCTTTCTTATTTTTATTAAAATTAAGTATGTTCCCTGCTCTTTTCTTTATTTCCGTCTCTCCAGCGGCAACTTCTTCTAGCTCTTCTCTGTTTGATGCTTACTTTTATATTTCCATGTACTTCCGAGGCTGTTCCTCGATTTTAGTTTTAAGCTTAACTGTTGCCATTTCACTTTGGAAATAAGGATTAAGCACATATCTTTGGGCTGCCAGTTAACCACTGATTATTTTCTATTCATCTTCCACATATAGTAATGTCATGTTTTTAGAACAGTATTCAGTGTTTATGCCGTGATCATGTAAACACCACTCACAGATGAATAGTTAGTTGCCTTAATGTATTCAGAAGTATCAAGTAATATGTCAATTTCATCTTGAATAGAGTTCCTCCTGGAGCCCTCAGATAAGCCCCAGTCTAGATTGGGTGACCTTCCCACCTGATATGCACCTATTCCCCTGGTATCACTCATTATCATCTTCTTAGAGATTCTCTTTGCATCTCCCTCAAATTGGAGCTCTTTTTAAAGATATTCTATGTCTACCTCCTACTTGGTTTACTTTCTGATTTTGGTGGAGCATATTCTTCAGTATCATCTTCAAAAAGGTTGCATGGGAACTACATTTTTTGTGACCTTGCTGTTTTGAAAATATTTTACATTTTCCCTAAAAATTAATTTTTCCTTTGGCTGAGAATGTAATTCCATGCTGAAAATTATTCCCTTGATAATTTTGAAGGCATTATGTTTTTGTCTTTGAAGTTCCATTCTTACTCTTAAGAACTGAGCTGCCAATCCAATTTCTCATTTATTTTCTTTTTCTTTTGAGACAGGGTCTCACTGTGTTGCCTAGGCTGGAGTACAGTGGTGCAATCACATTCTCTGTTTATTTTTTGTAGAGACAGGGTCTCCCCAGCTTGCCCAAGCTGGTGTTAACTCCTGGCCTCAAGGCTTCTCCTGCCTTGGCCTTCCAGAGTGCTGAGATTACAGGTGTGATCTATTGCGCCCAGGAATCTGATTTTTTTATAAGTTCTGTTTTTTTCTTTATGTTATCATTACCATCTCTTTTTAGCTAGCCACCTGGTGTGCTAAAATTTTATGATGATGTGCCATATTTAGGGTCTGTTTTCATCCCGTGTTGGGACTTTACCAGTCTATGAACTCATGTTCTTGAGTTCTAGAAAATTGTTTTGAATTATTTTATTCGTATCTACAGCCATACCACCCTGGACACACCCAATCTCATCTGAATTATTTTATTGGTGATTTTTCTCTTCTCTATTTTCTCTCTTTCTGGAATGCTTATTATTCAGATATTCGATCTCCTAGACTGGTTTCCCAAGAGTGTTATCCTCTTTCTTGCATGTATATGTTTATGTTTATATTTTTATATTATTTGTTTTTCTGGGACATGTTCTTAACTTTCTTAACTTTTTATTGAGTTTATTATTTTGAGTTTCTGCTATAATTTTTAATTTTTACAACCTCTTTTTCTTCTGTTCCACTACCCCTTTGATGGAATTCTGCTCGTTTTATGGTTACATTATCTTCCCGTGTCTGTTTAAGATATTAATGATAGATTTTGTTAAGGTTTTTTTTCTTTTGTCTGCCTAGTATCTTTTTACTCTGAGTTGCTTTTGTTTGGTTGCTGTCTTTCACGTTGAAGGCTCTTAGAGAGCTCTAGTGACTGATGTTTGCCTGTCTGTAATTAAGTGTGAGACACTAAAAAACTGAATGGAAGCTCTGAGCACATGGTGAGGTAAGTTGCTGAATCATCTGGATAGGCCAGAGATTATCTTTTTACCCTCTCGAAAGCATAAATCTCCATATTTGCTTCAGATGTGGGCAGATTGAACTGGTTACTTTTAAAAAGTACTGATTTCATTAGTACTTATTTTTAATACCTCCTATTATTACCGCCCCCCCTCCCCCTGCCGCTGCCGCCACCACCACACACACATTCAGTAACCAGCACTTTCACCCTAGTGTAGAGAATTATTTGTCATCTAACCAATTTCCTTATCCTTTTGTGGAGTTTTGCAGTAAAAAGGCAGATTTCTTCTTGGCTGTCCGATTGAGCTTCTTCATTCTGTTGAGCCTGCTTTCTAGCTTCCACAATTTTTTTGCTTTTTCTCTTACTTTATTCATGTTTCTTAAAACCAGATTCCTTTACCATCATTTTGGTGGGATTTAGGAAGAGACAAAAAGTAACTGATTTGCTTAATCTGTCTTAAAGACTTTTTTTTTTTAGAGACATGGTCTTGCTCTGTTGCCCAGGCTGTAGTGCAGTGGTGTGATCATAGTTCACTGCAGCCTCTAACTCCTGAGCTCAAATGTTTCTCCCACCCCAGCCCTCCGAGTAACTGAGAGTACAGGCACGTGCCATCACAACTGGCTAGGTCTGGGAAGTCTTAATAACTGCAGTACAGACTTTTAATCTTCCTGTTTTATCCATTCATCAACCCTGTGTTTGAAGGTACCTCGTATCTCCAGTACTTTTCCCAGGTTTCTGATGAACGAATTGGCTTTCTTCTTACTGAGTTCCTCCCCTTGCAGATCAAGTATAGCAGAGAAAGCTGAAACCTAATTGCTTTTCTCTGTCCACTTAACATCTTCCAAAATTTTGTTGATTTCTTATTTATTTACTTACTTACTAATTTTTGTCTCTTTTTCTATTATCTATTCTTGAGGTTTTTGACTTTTTTATGTGCCTTGCTGAGTTAGATTGTGACAATGAGCAGAGGAAATGCATGTCTTATGTCTTAATATTTAACCAGAGACTGTAGCACCATCTTTTAAACTTGTTAAGTGGATACCATTTAAAATATGTGACATAATTTGACAGTTCATCACCAGCATACTACCCTTCCGTTGCCTCTTTTGGATTGATTTAGGTATAATTTAGACTAGGAGAGCCAGAAAAAAGTCTTTAAGAGTCAATATCCACAAAGTATGTAGTATACTGGGTAGAAATACTAATCATGTGTGTCAGTTGAGAAACATCCTTAGATATCCAGTGTTACAGTAACTCTAAGAGCAGTTTTTAAATTCAAGCTCATAAAATATTCCTGTTTAATTCTGTGGTATTAAATACGTGAAAATAACAATCAGAATAAAGACCTATCCCTAGACATCAAGTCATATAAAACACATGAAAAATATTTTCCCATGATAATTAACACGAGCTGATTATATGTCATGTTACTTTTTTTATACTTCAGTGAGTTCTCATGTTCTCCAAAATACTGCCCTTTCTTTTTTTTCCCCCAGAGACAAGGTCTCACTCTATCGCCCAAGCTGTGGTGCAGTTGCACAGTCCTAACTCACCGTATCCTTGAGCTCCTGGGCTCAAGTAATCCTCCTGCCTCAGCCTCCAGAGTAGCTAGGACTACAGTTGCACCCAGCTAATTTTTGATTTTTATAGAGATGGGATCTCACTATGTTGTCCAGGCTAGTCTTAAACTCCTGACCTCAAGCCATCCTCCTGCCTCAGCCTCCCAAAACACTGGGATTACAGGTATGAGTCTCTGTTCCCTGCCAGTATTGCTTATTATTGAATATTCTTTTCTTCACTTTCTTCATGGCTAACACCTATGTGGGAACACATATACTTGATTTGCAGTTTTATTTTAATGTGATTGAGCCCTTGATACATACCTACCAGATAAGTTAGAAAAATATGCTTTTTAATAGCTATTCATATTGTTTATGTGAGTAAATTTTATGTTTCAGTTTACTCTCTAACGCCTAATAATGCGGGAGCAAAGGTCCCACACAGCCTTTAGCACTGGAACTGACTTTGCTTCGTTTTAAGTAATGCGTTTGTGAAAGGCATCAAACAGTAACATCTCTGCAGGAATCCTGTAGCTGGCTGTCTCCCTATCCCAGAGAGGACAGAAAGTGCTGAAGAGCTTACAGGCCAAGC